TGGGTAGATTGTAAAACCCCTCTGAAGTGCATTTTTTAGTGCAGTTAGTCCGTACGAATTGACTTTAGTACTGGACGAACAGAAGAAAATTGTGAAGAATCTGTATGGTTCGTCTGGATGAACCTGTATGAGCCTGGACGAACCGTCGAGACAAAATTTGTCTAGAGAGCAAATCGTCCAGGAACGAATACACTTCATCTGGACGAGGTTTGTACAGAGGACAAATCGTCCCGGGACAAATGGAAATCATCCGGGATTATCTTATTTGATAATTATTGGAATTGAGATATTTTGGATCATTTTGAAGAGAGAGAAAAAGCTGGAGAGAGAAAGAGAAGGAAAGAGAAGAGAAAGGCTTAATTTTGGAGGCCGCGGAGCGCTTTTCGTCCATCGACGCAGTTAGAAGAATTTTTATCTCGAAGTAAGGAATCCAAATCCTATTTTTGATTTCAAAGATTTTATGTTTTGGTATTTTTCTGCTATATTTTTTGTTTTCGTTATCAAAAAATGTGCATATCTTTGTATTGACGGAACTTTTAATGCGTAACTTTTGGTATGTTATAGAAATGATGTTTTTATATGATTTAAGTATTTTTTAGAAAGTTTTTACCGGGTATTTTAAATTCTGTGGGATTTTTATTTAATAGAAAATTATTCGAATATTGAAAAATATTGATTTAGTACAAGTAAAGTCTTGAAACGTTGTTTTATGTGATTTCTAGTAATTTGGTAATTTTTTGGGTATGTGCATTTTATAACGACTTCTGTCAACTACGATATTTCAAGGGGTTTTCTAAATTGAGCCAAACCATGTTTATTGGTTGCAATGCGTTGATGATAATGAAGAATGTGGTTATATGATTGAAATTATTATGAAATTACTGTGATATTCTTGTGTGTGTGAAAGATAAGTAAGAACTGGTTGAACCGTTGGTTGGAGACTGATTGACCTGTATAGGATGATGGGCCGACGGGCTTTCCTTTAAATATGGTTTGGTGTTATCCTCTACTGATCATGTGATTACTGAAGGGATTTATAAGGAGATGATTACTGTGCCGACGGGCAAAGAGTTACGACTCTTTTACTAAGCCAACGGATAAGATACAAGATATATGATACAAGACTGAAAAACACCGTAATAGCCAGGGATTTTACTTGTTGAGTATGTTGTGAGTATGATTACTGATTAATGAAATACTTTTGTTTAATCATTATTCTTATCATTATTATACGGATTTATCGTTACTGGCGGATTTACTGTTAATGCATGATTTTACAGTTATAGCATTACTGCTCATGTCACCGGATTATTACTGTTATTGATATAGGCACTGATACTACTGATTCATGGTACTGATATTATGCACGTGATATACTGTATAAGTGACATGTGGTTCACTAAACACGTGATATTAATTATTAGATTGCATGTGATTCACTGAGCGCGTGATATTGGATAACTGAATTGCAAGTGTACATCTTCATATAATTCTACGACCTTGATTGATTCCAACTGTTTCAAATTATGTTATGACTTTATTTCATTGATTTGATTTCAACAGTCATGAATGATAGTACTAATTTGACATTTTATACCGACTGATATTATTGAACCGATGAATTCTTTTTATATGATTGATATTATTGACTGATTTGATTGATATTATGGTTACAAAGATTTCTTTAATGATTTAAATGTGAGATTTTAGATATGAAGATTTGTCTACTGAATTGACTGGTGTTATTGATACGACTACTACTGTAGAGATTTGATGCACTTAATGATTCATTGAGCTTTACAAACTTTTATACCGTTTATTGATTCTTCCACTGATAGTGCTAGCTTCACATGTTTCTGTAGTGATTTATGTTATTGTACTGATTACTGTTTCTACAAGATTTATGATTCTGCATTGACTCAATGATCATGTGTAAATGACTGCTATGATATGACTGATTGACATGCATATTGCTTCTGTACCGTGCTTTGATTTCAAATGTAGGTATTTGGTAACCTGCTGGGCTTTTTGAAGCTTATTATATGTGGTTAATATTTTCAGGTCAGGGCAAGGGAGCAGGAGATTGAGGTTGATAAGGAATATTCAGGTTTTTGTTCTTTTGTTATAGTGATTCTTTTTGTACTCAGGATAGGATGGATTACATGTGATTAATGTGTAGATCCAGAGTATTGTAAATGAGCTTTTGGGAATGAATAGAAATGTTTACTTGAAGTTTTAAATTATAGAATTTTGTTAGACTGTTTAATACTTATTGATGACTATAGATAGCTCTGGTAGAAGATTGACTTAAAGGATCGACTGAAAAATTCTTCCAAGTTAGATCTTGGTGCGTCACATAGGCACTCCAAGAGGTGTGGGTGGGTTTGGTGGGGTGAATTGGTTATTTAAAAATTCTATCAATTAAACATAAACAGAAGTAAAATCACATAATAAAACTAATGAAATTTTTCTCCTTACATTTACGTAATAAACAAAATTACAAAATAATATTTATTTATTTAATTATTCAATTTTTTTTCTTTTTTAAATAATAATCAATATAGATAAGGCTTGATAATCAAAGTATAGATTTCTAGGAATAATAAATTTACATAAAATTAAAATGCAGGAAAAGTAAATGTTTTTAAAAAATGAATGAACGCACTATATTTTGCAGTGGTACGATCAAATAATAAACTATCTCAACACCCCTAAGTCTTCATCTATAGGTATTACATTAAAACTTTATTATCTCTCTTTAGCCCCTATAGAAACATTGTGAATCCTTTACACAATCACATCCACCAACCTAGGGTGCTAGAGTTACCGTAAGCTTTTTCACCTTCCTGGTGAAGGAAATGTGCCTTGAAGGTTTTTCACCCACATAGTGATGGCAGTGAACATGGAACCTTTTCACCCTCGAGGTGAAGGAAATAAACCTATAGTCCTTGTTCACCTTGCTAGTGAAAGTAGAGAACATGAATTCTTTTTCACCCTCCTAGTGAAGGAAAGGAGCTTAAATTATCTAATTAGTAATATATGTTTAGAAAGGGGCTTGTACTATTTTTTAATTTCATGAACCAATCATCTATTATGGTTTCAAGATCATACAATATAATTAGTTCCTTCAAATAAGAATTTGTTCAGTATGACAAGTGGCAATTAAATATCATCTTGGGAGTAAATCTGGTTAACAATATGATTAAGTAGATCATTTAGTATGATCTTAATATTTAATTATTCTTGATTTTATTGTCTAATCATAAGATTAAATTTTGTAAGATTTGTCGCAATCTTACCATGCGATTAATGTCATACAATAAAATTAGGTCATATTTTGAATTTTAAAATATTGCCTAATTTTTTATTGCGTTAGGAATATCGATTTTTATTGATCATCTTGTATGATGTGGATCATATAGTATGATAAGTTCAAATTAATTTTCTTTTAGTTAAATGTTTAATTAATGTATATTTTTATCAGATCTTATAATATTCATGAAAATTAATTTGTCTCTCCCTATGTTTGTGCACAACTGCTAAGATAACATACACCATTTATAGGTCTCCTGACTCATGAAATATAAAAAATAAATAAATAAAAATATAGGCACTTTATATAAATATCAAACCTATTCTATGTAGTCTGTAGATAGGCCTTTTATATGATGTATAACATACTTAAAAAGTTAATGTGCACAAAAATATATCCATAAATAATACCAGGAGAGCCAAAATAGAAACTCAATAATATTTTTTATCATCAAAATTATAGGATTGAGATCCTAGTTTATAATAATCTCACCCTTTTTTATGATGGCAAATATTATTTGTTGAATGTATATATTAATTTAATTTTCTCCTAATCTCCACCTTACTTACTAATTTTTCATAATGTTAATGAAATACTTTTTATTTTTTTACTTTTTAATATCAATTATATAAAAAATAATAAAATAAAAAATAAACACATATTTTAAAACTAATAAGCATACATTCTACTCCTCCTTTTTATAGCACTAAAAGGAATAAAAAATAGGAAAAAAACTAATAGAAAATGATAAGAACCACACAACATATAAGCACTTAGAAGTTGTAGGGACCTAATCATGTAGAGGTGGTGGTGGTTAAAATTACTAATGATGGGTAGAGAACTGACTCCTAAACCAAGCTCGATCATCCTCTCATTATGTTTGTGTTACATTTACAGTAGTTCATCCTACTTGTGAAGCCACTCCTAGTGTTGACTAGTATCTTTATAATGGATGGCTCTTTTCATCTCTAGTTGATCAAGTCACTACATTATATAGTCAAAGTCATAAGTAAGGGATAGTGCTGGAGCTCCCCCTACATCATTTCACTCGGGATACATAATATAACATCCGTGGAAGCATCTATCACTGTTGAGGATGTGAAAGGAGCCATTGAAGAAAAAGACTGGAAGGTGATTACGTGGCGCTTGATATTAAAGGTTGTGTTTGGATTCAAGTATATAAGCTATCAGATGAACTAGTTATAAATTTTGCTAAATTTTTTTTTAGGGAAACGTAGGGCGGGACTTACTCGTTAATATAAAAAATGATTACAAGGTCCTTAAAGAGAACTCAAGCTCACTACTGCTCTGAGGATCTATAAAATTAAAAGTAAAAAAAAAAAAAAAATACTATGAGCTCAAGTTTCCAACTACAAAAAAGTATAAAAAATCACAAGTACATTCTATCGTGCACAAGATCGAGCACCCAAAAAACCCTATAGGTCAAAAAGATAAAAAGTAGCTCCAAAATCCTCCTGAAAAGGTAACCCGCCAAAAAACCTACATCATAAACAACTTGCACCAAGAGATAATAGACAAAATAATAATAAAAAAATAGTATGAATATAAAATAATAAGGATATACCACCAATGCGGAACCTAAATACCATCAATAAACAACCATACCAACCCAATAAGACAAAGTCTCCTCTTCCACCAAAAGAGAACCAGATATACCAACAAATACATCATAGCATTAAGCTCAGGATAAACCACAGTACAGAACTCACCAAGAGCAAAGCGAAAACCCCTAGTTAATAAACACCAACAACAATAAACAGCAAATAGAACAACCCAAAGGTAATACCCGTGCAAGGCTGCCAAAACAACCAAGCAACAATCAGTAATCTCATAGTAGGGACAAAAACTAAAATCTCCCACAATATGAACCAACCATAATGCAAAAGTAAGAAGAACAACCCAAAGGTGAAACTCATGGACAGCTGCCATAATAGCCAACCAATAACATATAACAAACTGCACAAACCCTTGCAGTTTATAGCAATCAAATCATAAAAAGAGAAGAAGTCATAAGAAATAAAATGCAAAACACTACAGTTCTGGATAATCCAACACTACAAGGCTAAAACAAAACCACAAAAATTAATATCATCAATAATAAAATTTAGAAATGAAACTATATGAGGCAAAAAAAAAATAACAACCCCTTTGATAAATAGAGGACCCATCCAACCAAGAGAAACTACAAAAGAAAAGTTGGAACACAAATATCAACCATCCACCTTTGGGAATAACATAAGGAACACCAATGTTATCCAATTTTAAGAGACCCCTAACATGGTGAGGGAGATTAGAACAATTGAAATCAGTCATGGAAGCCATCCCATAGCCGCACCTTGCAATGGCCTTAGCACAAGCATTCCCCTCTTCATTAATAACAGAAAAAGAAATATTGAGCATGTTCAACCAATTCATAATTTCCCTTCTCATGTTAAAAAGCTCAAGATTACACATCTTATCATTCCTAACAATAATAGACTTATAGTAATAATAAGAACAAACCTCCACAATAATATTAATGCAATCCAGAGAAAAGTACCACTTTAAACCATAATTAATAGCAAACGTGATAGCAATATTAACATCCCAACTAAAATAATGGCCAACTAAACTCACAATACAATTACCGTTAGAATCCTTGATGATACAACCACAATACATTTTATCAATCCTAAAAGTTTTTCTTTTGTTTATTCATAGGATTGTGAATGCTTATAAAATTTTTATTTTAGAGGATAATCAAGTCAGTTGAACTAATGTCAAATTTAAACTTGATGAAATATGTGACAAGGGATAGGAGAGGTTTGATATTTACCCTATCATCTGCTTTTGCAATGACTATGTTGTGAAGGATATGTTGGATTATGCAGGCATCTTAAACTTAAGTGTAGACTTAGAAAGCAAGACTATTTAGTGAAGTATCCCTTGATTTAAATATTGTTGAGTTTATCCATATTTAGGAAGAAAGGTAATAAAGCGTGCTTTAAGTTCATTAGTGGAGACATGTAAGATCTGATCAAAATCCACATGAGTGATTTCTACATGTCTCCTATAAATAAAAGATTAAAGGTTTATCCCTTTATTATTGACTCTGAACCTAGTGAGGAACTCAAAAAGCAACTACGAGTTGAAAAGAAAATCTAAGGTGAGAATGAAGTGTGTTGTATTGCTAACAAAGAAATTTAAAACTTTAAAGTTCAAGACATCCTGATTGATGATTTTTGTTGGAGTTATCCAGACAACCTTTTAACTAGAGTAGGCATTTTCTCAGGAAGTTTGAAAAAACTGAAAAGATTTTGGACATCTTGAAGAGTGGCCTAGTAGAGCTTCAGAGTGCTTTTGACTGGCCATTTGATAAATAGAAACAAGAGTATACAAATGAAGGAAAAGAATTATGTTGTTTTTTATTAGACATCCATCTCATTATTTAGATTTGAAGGCAAAGGTATATTATGATATATATCTTATAGTATGATCCAAAGAAATTAATTTATCCAAGCTATTTAGTCAAAATGGTTGGTTGAATCATATAGTATGATCAAAATTATATTTGCACATCTTCATTATATCCATAATCCTGAGTAGTGATATGGTATGATCTTGGACTAATGCATCATAGATTTCAAAAAAGGATTATTTTTAAAAAATATCATATTAGCTAAATTGATTTCATCTAATGGCAAATGGCACGTAGATCGTTCAATATGAATTAGGTAGTTATATAATAAGATCATCAATTATTGGTCCAAATTGGACCATTCAGACATTTAAAGATCATATAGTATGAATTAGGTTTGTACAAATATAATATAAGAAAATTTTTTATTTTCCTTTTCCATATTTTTTCAATTTTTTTAAAAATAGATTGATTTGCGAATATCAGAAAACTTTTACTAGCTAGAAATGATAAAAACTCTAAAAAATAATTAAAAATTAATAAAAAATTATAAAAAATACTTAACAAATATGGAAAGACACAAAAATAAATTATTGTACACATTATCCATTTCACTCTACCATGAATCAAGCAAGAATATCATTAATGGGCTAAAGGTATCATAGTTTAGGAATTTGATGAAATTATTTCCAATTGATTTTCTATGGTTCATAATATAGTTGTATATCTCCCTTAGCTATATTATCTCTAATGAAATGTTGTTTAATGTCTATATGCTTAGTGTGACAGTGTTTAATTAGATTTTTTAATGAAAATGGCACTAGTGCTATAACACATGCTAGGAATGGTGACTATTTAAAATTCAAGGTCTAGGATTTGTTAATTTAACCATAAGAGTTGATCAATATAGCTTTTTATAGCTATGTATTCCACCTCAACGCTAGATAGGACAATGAAATTTTCTTTTTACTAGACAAAAATTAATGATTATCCTATGAATTGATAGGTTTTAGCGATACTTTTTTATATTTACCATACACCCTATAATGTCTGAGTTTGTAGAAATTATGATTTTAAATGATGAGCTATATCTAGGAAATGAGATACCTAAGTTTTGGGTTCCTAAAAGGTATATAACAATTCTCTTAACTACAGTCATATAAGATTCATTGGGATCGGCTTGTAATCTAGCACTAAGACATACACTAAACATGATGTCAGGTCAGCTAATAATCAAATACATAAGTGATTAGATTATCCCCCTACACTTCTTCTAAACTAAAGATTTTCCATTTGGATCTCAATATATAATTTAATGTTAGGGCTCATGGGTTTATTTATTATATTAACATCTTCTATCTTATACATCTTTAGGATCTCCTTGGTATGTTTGCTTTGATTAAGAAAGGTTCAATCATCTCTTTGTTTAAAACTAAATCCAAGAAAGCATGTAAGTTCTCCCATAATGCTCATCTCAAACTCTCTACTCATGGTTTCTAAAAAAGTATTGCATAGGCTTTTATCTTATGATCCTAATTATATGCCACATATATATAATGAGTAGATCACATCCTTCTTTCTTTATTAATAGGATGGTATGTACACTACCCTTAACAAATGATATATTTATTAAAAATATGGCAAGTCTATAACACCAAGCTCTAGGAGCTGGCTTTAGTCCACAAAATGTCCATTTCAATTAATAAACATGATTAGGAAATGTTGAATTTTCAAATTCAAGGGTTATTCTATATAGACATCTTCCTTAATTACCCCATTTAAATAAGAACTTTTAACATCCATCTAATGAAATTTGAAGCCCCTAAAATATGAAAATGTTAATAAAACTCTAATAGCTTCTAACCGAGTTATAGGGGCAAAAGTTTCCTAAAAATTATTACCTTTAATTTCATTATGCCTTTAGGTACTAACCTAACCTTATTCTTAATAACTAATCTGGAGTCATTCATCTTATTCTTGACACCCATATAGTTCTTACAACACTCTAGTTCTTAGGTAAAATAACTAACTCCCATACATCATTCCTATCAAATTGGTTCAACTCTTCTTGTATAGTTAAAATCAAGAAATCATCAGATACGGCTTAATCTATACTAATGACTTCTACCATTTAGATAAATGTATAATGATATACCTCATTCCTAAGTCCATGCCATGTTCTAACTCCTACAGATGAATCTTCTAGGATGACTACATGAATATGTCTATTCTCTAGACATTAACTCTGAGATTCTTCTCTATTTCTTAGAATAATGAATTCTACTCCTTGGGTAACCTCTACCACTTCTTTTCCTTCTAATCTAGTCTCCCCAGATTAATCGGTTTCATCAAATTTCACATGAGATAACTTCTTTACAACTAATGTCCTCTTATTAAATATCTTATAGGCTTTACCAATAGATAAGTAATTTAACAAGACTCCTTCATCATACTTAATATCAAATTTGTCAAGAGGATATTTCTATCAATAAGAATGAACAATTTACACCCAAAGACATGATGATGTGAAAGAGTGTGTGTTCATCCCATAAGTAGCTAATATGATGTCCAATTAAATTTAGATCTTATATTAACCTTATTCAGAACATAATAAATAATATTCATTATTTCTTCCAAAAAATATCTAGGGAGAGAATATTCAACAAACATAGCCCTAGTAACTTATACTAAGGTTATATTCTTTTTTGTAGCTATCCCATTCTACTATGGGGTCCTACGGGAAGAGAAATTATATTCTATTTCTAATTCCTTATAATATGTTTCAAACTTATAATTCTCAAATTATCCATCATGATCATTATGAATATTAGATATTTTACATCCTAAAATTCTCTAAATCCAAGTGAAAAATGTTCTAAAATTTTCAAATAATTTATTTTTATGAGATATGAATCTAAACTAGGTGATTCTAAATAAATAATTAACAAGTACATATCCATAAGTTTTCCTTCCAAAGTTGGTTGTACTAATACACCCAAACTTGTCTATTTATAAGATTTCTAGTGGCCTAGATGTAATGATGTCCATAATAAAATGAATTTATGATTTCAATCATTTTCTATATTGAGAATTCTAGCTTGGGTAAGCCTCTATCTAGGTCTTTCTAGGTGATCTTCCTAATGTTTACATAATGTAGTTATCTATGTCATAACCAGGATTCATCAACAAAAAAATTTAAACATAAGGAATTTTAATTATTAACACAATTTAGCATGTAAATATTATTTACTCTTTTCCTTTTCCTTCTAAGATACTATTGTTGAGATAGTTGCTACTTTGTTTTGTATGTTTGATATTCTTGCAACTTATATTTTTTTTATGATTCCAATTATTGTTGATTTGATTATTATTTCTCCTAACATATTTTGAAAGAATTATTTTCCTCTTGTGTGTACTAACATTTTTGGGAAATCATACTCTAGGTTATTGAAGACTTCAAATAAGATCAGTTTAGAGTTTATTGTAACTGAAGTCTGTATTTTCCATTTTATTGAGTCTAAGAGAGTGAGATTGTAATTGAGTAACTGAGCACACACACACTGGGGGAGAGTTTTAAAATTCATATTTTTAAACTAATCCGTATTATATGATACTACTTCATATAGGATGATCCTGTCAGTTATTCTTCTCGATGAGCAGTCGAATGAACAGAATAAAAAAAAATTAAGTATGGTTTGTACGAGATGATCCCAATTTATGTATAAGGATGAACATCTCATGTTCATTCTTTCATAAAGATCATACGGGATGATCCATGGTTCATACAAGGATGAACGTCTCAGGTCTGCTCTCACACGAAGAACACACTGGATGATTCATGGTTCATACAAGTAAGAACATCTTGGGTTCATTCATGCATGAAAATTTTTTTCTTAGTATGGATCGTACGGAATGATTCCAGCATCATATAAGGACGAACATCTCAGGTTCATTCACAAGTTTAGATCATATGGGATGATCCAAGATTCGTATAGGGATGAACGTCTCTGGTTCGTTCTCACTTATTTTGTCCTAAAATTTCATACAGATAAAATTT